ATTGTTTGCCAGCTCCAAATCCACTTCTCCCTCTAACTCTCCATCTGAGAGCTCCCGCATTACCTGCTCATAGTCATCTTCGGCAGAAAATGGCACTTTCTCTGCCCCGGTGGAGCACAGCTGCTGTGCCTTTGCTGCTGTTTGTGGAGAAGGTGAAGCGGAGCTGGAGTCCTCTGCCTGGGCCACGGACTCTGCCCAGCATCCTTGAGCCACTTCAGAGAGTTCTTGAAGGAGCTCATGAACATCCATCCCCATCTCCAAATCCTCTCCTCCTTCCACATCTCCACCTGACAGCTCTAGCATTAGATCATCATAGCCGTCTTCTGCAGCAAACGCCGTCTTCCCTGCTGCAGTGGAGCACAGCTGCTGTGTCGTTGCTGCTACTTCTGGAGGAGGTGAAGCACAACTGGAGTGCTCTGCCTGGGCCACAGACTCTGCCCAGCATCCCAGATGAAGGTCGGGACTTGGGAGAACGAGGAAGAGAAAAATCAGTACCTGGCACTTCTTGACTGGAGAAGCCTTTTCTTCAGACCAGCTCTAAAATCCATCGTTAACCTTTCCTACAACTCCTACCAATACGGAGGTTGTCACTCCTTGAACCTGGCCTACAGTTAAGGTCCAATCCAAAAGCAGGCATGATTTTCAGTGGCAACTGATCTGTGCAGACAGAGCGCTTGGTGCCTACAAGCATGGTCCAATTTTTGTAGCCAGAGGCACTTTGCCTCCTTCATTACTTGGACTGTAATAATGCTAGGGAGTCAACCTCCACAGATATCTGTCTGTGTTCACCACTACAGTTCTCTTTCTCATGACATGCTCTGCAGAGACGGATTGCCAGCCCAGGAGGCTGATCTCCATCCATCCCTTCTGCTCTTTGTTCTCCTAGCAGTGTTGTCAAAGTCTCCAATTCCTGAGGTGGCATTCTTGAGCACCAAAAAGCATGGCTGGCCACTCCTCAAATATCACTTCACAAGGAACTGGAGGGACTTCTCCTCATCTTCATTCAGGTGTTCAGAGGAGCCAACAAGGCTCTGGAACACTTAGCAACATTAAGAAAACAATCTAAAGGCACAAGCAGCCACTAGCAGTTGGGACGTTATTTCTGATGACAAATGTCTTTGGTGGTTGTTGGCACCAATTAGATCAAATCCCTCTGTTTTCCTAGGCATGGGAGAACTTACAGATCATGGAAAACATCATGACTACGAAAAAAAACAAGCTGTGGTCATCACCTGTTTGGGGGTGTCTCTGCTTCACGTACAGTGACCAGGATGTCCTCTGGCCAGGCTGGAGCAACAGCCTAGGGAGAAACAAGACAGCAAGAATGATGCACAGGGAAACATTCCTGAGCAGCTTCTTCCTCCACGCATCCTTGCATCTTCTCTGGCGCTGCCGAGCCTTAACCCAAAGGCAGAGCCCCAGTGCTCCTGAAGAAAGTTCAGATTCCCTTCAAAGTTACCAAGGAGCTTCAGTGTTTTAGAGAACACAGCACTAACTGACAAAATCCTTCACACCACAGAGAAATCCCAGAAGGGCGGAATCACAGAGTACTACGTGAACGCCGCCATGCCTCTAATGAACACTGGAAGGTTACTGCAGGAATCTGCAGGCAGCTCCTGGCTTCCAGGCACAGAGAACCTGTGAACCTTCCAGCGTTTCCCCAAGAGAAACGTAAAACTTCCATTTCACTACGACTGGGGATCCACGACAGCTTCAGCCACGGTCCTTACCACAGCTGCAGTTTTAGCTGGAGGCTCCTCCGTGCCGTCAGCGGTGGCACTCACAGCACTGCCACACATCTCAGCTGCTTTGCGCTTCCGTGCAGCTGCGCACACAGCTTCTGGAACTGATGTGCTGCGTTCCACGTGCGTCTCTGCTTCTATGGCAGGAGCTTGAAAAGAAACAAACAAAATCTCGTCGTTCAGCAGCAAAAGCAAAGAACCCTGAGCACCTCTGTTTCCTATGCGTGTTTATGTCCTCATGTCCACTATTGAGAGAAAGGCTGCGGTGTGCCATCCACACAGCATCTGAGCTCTTCTCATCCATTACACGTTTATTTATTGTTATTTTTTTTAAAAGCTGATCTAACCTCAACAATGAGATGTTTGATTGCCTGCTCTTTTGGACAGAAACTGGCCCTTACTCTAAGGAGTCGATACATGCTTTAGAAAGATGGTCTTGGTAGCCTTAAACTTCTTCATCCTCTGCACAAGAAGCAAACCCAATGCAAACCCCATTTGCTAACAGGGCTAGCATTTCCCCAGGGACGTACTAAAGCAACTCAGTACCTGTTAGCTTTGGACTCTGGATCGATCTCCTCTGTGCTGGGGCAGGTGCGGGTGGGGCTGGAGGAGCTGACACGCTTTCTTCCCTCTGCTGCAGCCGCAGAGCCTTCTCCCTCTTGATTTCGTCCAGGGTTTTAATATGGATTTCCTCCAAAGGCTTGACTTTATGCACTGGCTCTTCCACCTTCTCTTGGCCAGCAACAGATGGAGTGAGAACGCCCTGCATACTGTTTTCACCCTGAACCCTTCTCTTGGTAGGCAACTCGTCTGCATTTTGCTTCCCATCTTCTGATCGCCTGCGTTTTCTGAGAGGCAGGGCTTGGGAGAAAGCTGAGGTGCAAACTGCCTGGGAAGGTCGTGTCTCTGTGCTCTGCTCTTCGGTTTGACACTGCCCTTCAGCTTGGAGCTGAGCTGGAGTTCCGCCGTGTCGATTCGCTTTCTCCTGGCGGATTTCCTCCAGTGTTTTCACACGGAAGTCTCCTGTCGACTTAGCAGCCTTCTCTGGGGTCACTGAGAAACGAGAAGCGCCAAGATGAACAGAGATTCCAACAATACTTCCACTCTCCAAAGCCTGCCGCAGCACTAAGGAAAACCAATCTGCAGTGCTCACAGAAATGCATCTGAGGACAGGCTCATTCTGCAAATCCCTCTCCTCTCCTGAGCTGCTTGTACCATTTTGAAGACCGGCCCCATCCAGAGAGAGTTGCTACACAAAATCGCTCACCTATCCTGTTCCCTTCTGACTGCATCTTTCCATTCGCATCTCAGACTCCTGCTGCTAGCAGTGGCTCTGTTCTACCCGTGCCTAAGCATACTGCACCTTGGGAGGGCTCACAGAAGATGCGCAAGTGGAAAAATACCGCATCCCCGGAGCGCATTTCTAATAGCAGCCACCAGAAGAGTTTCAGCACTCCAGGAAAACAGAACCAGGTTGCTTTTGTTTTTCCTTTAAGATCAATTTTTAGAGCTGTATGAAAATGCTCATAAATTTAAGGAGTTAAGTGTGATATACAGAATGTCCAGTTACTGTCTGTCCTCGTGCCAGTTTGTCCGCAGGACAATCCTAGCCTCTCCTTCCCAGAGCCGGGGACTTGAACTACAGAACCGAAGGGAACAAAGGAGGGAGGCTGCATCAATGCCAACTTTGGGGACGCATTTCAAAATAGAACAGCAGAGGTAACTTCAAATCCCAGACAGTAAGAGCTCCAGCGACATGCCAAGAGAAGAACCACGAGAAAGAAGAAACAGAAAGCCTAAGCAGAAAAGCTGTGCACCAATTTCCAATGCCCGCTGAATACCTGTAGCATTCGTTGGTGCTTTGTCAACCTCCACCTTCCTCCCCAGTCCTTCAGCAAGGCTGCTCTTCACTGGGATGCCACTCCCATCACCTTCAGACAAAGAGAAAACAAGCAACACTTGAAGAACAGCTCTTTGGAGGACAATCTCAGAACCGTCAATCACAACCTTCCAATTCTCAAGCATATTTTATTCAATGTGCCCCTTAGCTGTTGATTATTACTCTGCCATTTCTGCAGCTGGCACAGAACTGCAATTTTCCTCTCTCAGACATCAGAAATACCCTTCAGGCAGTCATATTTGGATGAAGGCACCCCAACGCTACATTACAAGAAGTTCTTACCTTCGGAGGCTTTCTGTTTTCTCCACATCTCACCACGATTCAAGCGAATCTGAAAAAACAAACAACAAAAGAGCACAACTTGAGAATCCACCATGACATCAGGTCTCATTCTGAGAACCAAACTCAGAAGCTAAGTGGATACTAAGCGAACCAAAGAGCAGCAGGCATCCTCCTACACAACCCCTCCCTCTTTAACACTAAAGAAAAGCAAGAAAAACAAAGCAACAGGCACCCAAGCATACCTTGCGAGATGTGGAGTGCGAAGAGGAATAAGAACCATTTCCCTGGTTGGCCATGCTGGAGAAATTCCTAGAACAAGCTCAGGTTCTCGAGGATCTCTCCACAGGGACTTCTGCCACTCCTGGAAAGAGCTGCCTCGCTCTTTCTTGGACTGGAAGTCTTCTGGCTTGGTCAGGGAAATCAACGGACCCTAAAGAAAGTATCGAGAGGTGGAAAATAGTGAGCAATAAGCATTTTCCCGGCCTTCTTCTCTCGCTCGATTGGTTTCTGGAGTGGGGGCTAGAGAGGGGGCAGGAAATGAAATGCCTTGACATCAGCTGCGTACAGGAACTATCCCAACACTCAAGCAACCTTCAGTGGATTGTGGAAATGACAGCTGGGAACACGCGACCAACTCCCACAGCCAACAGCGCTCCCTCAGCAGAGGGCTTGCGCAGCCACGGGACAGGCACGGCCACTGAGCTGCACAGCGCCTTTGTGGCTGCAAGGCTCACGTGTGTCACCTGAGCACACAGTGCTGTGCTTGGTGATGTCACAGCTGAGTGCCTGGCTTGCCACCACCATTACTGCTGTGAGTTCTCACTAAACGTATGCGGAAGAAGGCAGAACATGCCAACCTTGGATCAGGACAGAACACGTTCCGCACCACAGAAGCAACAACGCATGCTTGGAGACAGCCTGTTCAATAAAGATGTGCTCAGGTGGAGGCCGGTCCCAAATCCCTGACGGATAATTTTTAGGTAGCACCTGTTTATAATGGGAAGCCTTTCCCTTAGTCCAGAACTCCTTCTTTCCTGTGTTTGTACTGAGAGGCCCTGCTCTCCTGTTCTCTCTGTCATTTTCCTCTTTGGTGGCTGACCAGGCACCGGGAATCCCTGACAGAGGAAGGCTGCTGCTGCAGCTGCTGTGCCTGCTCTCGGGGCAGAGGGGCATTCTGGGAGAATATGTGCTCTTTCGCTCTTCCTTTTGTTCTTTCTTTCTGAAATCTGTGCTCTTACAGAATCTGAAATGGAACCAAACGCCTCTGGCAACAATCCCTTGGCAGGGTGCGGGGCAGCAGGCGGCAAGGGCAGCGCAAGATCCCCAGCCTGGCTTTTCTCCTGAAACACCTTCCAGCATCAATCCAGCAACCACCTCAACTCACCTGTTCAGCCCGCTCAGTCTAAGCTGCCACCAGCTCACGTCCACAGCACAGCGCTGCTTCTGACGTGATCTCACAGCGTTATCCTCGCAAAGGAAGGCCCAGAGCTCAATCTGCGAGTGCAGCACGCACAGCAGAGCACCAGGTCTGGTACCAAGCTGTAGGCCAGGCCTGCCCATCCCAGCAACCAGTGTGACCCAAGCAACCCTTCTATGCTTTCATCATAAAGGAAGGAAAGACACGCCTACTTGCTCCAAGTTTGCAGAAAGAAACACTAAGAACACCCAAGTGTGTTATGTTAACCTTCCACAATCAGCAATACCCATAGCCTCTAACACATGGTGATCCAGAGCTATGCCTGATAAAATCTGAATATGTAGTAATAGCCTTTTTTTTTTTTTTTTTCAGATAGTTTAGGGCAGTCTTCTCGTCATCCTCTCCCATCTGCCATTCTTCCCATCGCTCACCTGGGACTTCCAATGCTCCTCCTATAATCTCAGCTTTTCCCACCCGAGGCTAGCACTGTATGTTCCTGCACTGGGGAAACATTCTGTCGTTTTGTGTGCTGACGGAGATGGAAATGACTGGCAGGTTAAAAACTGTAAGAAAACAGTTACGAGTCAAGGGAACACTAGGGGAAGAAAACTCTGCCATGGGACTTAATGAAAAATAAACCTTATCACCTTGGCACCTTATCAGTTCTGACCCCCTATTAGCCATTATTAATGCAGGTGTGGGAGCTTGGAAGGAAGGCAGCAAGTGCTAAACTCATACTGGAATCAAGTCTGTCTTCAGCACACGTATAACTCACTACCTTCTCTCTTCAAATGCTGGCAGCTCCTGCACAAATGGGAGACGGCCTATAGCACAACAAAAACACTGCGAGAGTGCCCCTTCTTAGATCTTGCCGCAGACACGCCACCATTGCAGGGTCCCTCACTGCAGGGGCTAGCGATCTCTCCTTGCTCTACCCGCAGTCTCTCCTCACTAGGACCATTGCAACACAGACACCAATATGGAGGATGCTGCAAAATGGCAATTTATTGAAATTCAACAGTATCTCATATACCCTCCAGAGTCCACTTGTCGGAACCTTATTGGTGGGTATCAGTCCAAGCTGCCCAGCACCAGTCCTGCCATTGGCCCTTCATTGTTACACTGTTCCATGGTGGCCATCTCCAGGTGGTGTCCATCTTCTTGTTCCTTATCTTCATCCTTCAGCTCCTTCTTCCTCGCTTAATTTCTTCCTCAAGGCCAATGGACGTACTGTTCCAAGCACCTACCACAATGCTGAATAACTCCCATATGTGCTTATCACGAGACAGTCCAACTACCTGCACCGTGACAGCCCAAATCCCCGGTTAGTCGCCTAATAACAAACCCAACAGATCCAAAATGCCACTGCCGGGGCGGCAGCCAGAAGTTACGAGCACGTTCCCATTCACCTGTCAGAATTCTTCTGCAATATCTGAGTTGGCTGCTTTAAGCCTATATTTGCAATCTGCTGCAGAAAAA